CGGTTCACCTTGGCATTGGTGGGTGAAGTCGCACAAAACACACTCCTTATCATCAGGTAAGTAGGGTCCCCCAACCACAAAGGGTGGGTGGCAAACTTTTAGTTTAAATCACACTATAACATTCATATTCAACAAAAAGAATTATGTGAGCTCACTATGAGAAACTGTTGTTAAAGAAGTTTGTAATTGCAGCACGATCAGAAACTGTTTCTGACAATGGCTGTCTATATATCAAAGGTTCATGCAAATTCTGACCGTTGAAATTTTGGTCTGATCAGCCTTGGTGAATGTGAATGGAGGAGGGGACCTCCATTTATTTGGTATTTTGGAGAAAAACTTAGTTGCAATGGGAATAACAATATTTCGCTATTTTTGGTCAATAATACTATATCACGTGGAAGTGTTATCATGCGTTTCATAACATTATTGATCGGGGATAGCAAATAGTGTTATTCCTGTGACATGGAAGTCTTTCTTGGTATTTGGGGTCCTGCATGAAATTAGGACACTTGTAGCATATGGGTTCATTCAATCCACGGGCCACCACATCGACAGACAAACAAACATTTTTTTTATGTTTTTGGACTGATGGCTTGGATGATTTACAATATTAATCTAGAATCTAGAATAGAATTCTACAACTTTAGTTCTTAGATATAGTTTAGTAAGTTGTTCAATATTCAATGTCCATGGCTTCCTTTCGGCCTATTTCGGTTGGGAAAAAGGTGTTACGGGTCAAATCTCAAATGTACATAGAAAGGTCTCATCATGACCAATTGGGTAAACTGAAGAATAATATTTATCTCTTGGGCCGGTTAAAGGGTTATTCTCAAGCCACTAGGTTTTATTCTTAGCGTTGACCAAAACGAACAAACAAAACAAAAGGATCTATCAAGTTTATACGCAAGGAGAACATGGATGTTGTGGTCAAGATAGAGAGAGTTACTGTGCAGAAGAGAGTGATGGATGTTGTAGTGCCTTTGACGCCGGAGAACAAAACCCGGCCACCTAGCCGTCGTGGATCTACCGTGGGAAGAGAATAAGGGGAGATGAAAAGAATTCATTGGTAGATGAAGGCCAGTAAGGCTATTAAAGACATTTAATATGGGTAAACAAAAGTTAATTTTTTTAAAATGTACTACCCTCTCCGCACGGGCTTCCGCACCTGCAAAAGGCCTTTCTTTAAATAAAAAAATTTAAAATTAAAAAAAATAATGGGTAATTATATTCCATAAAAATATGACCTATTATCTAATTTTGTTTTAATATGAAAAAATATGTGAATTTACCAAATTATTCTCATTTAATTAATAATTTCAATTCTTTAATGTTTGAATTAACCAATGACATTTTTTGATATTTTGAATGTTTCGCTGTTTTCTACCTTTCGCTTTATATATATATATATATATATATATATATTAAAGACATTTTTATATATACAAGCAATAGTTACTGAAAAATAGTTCAAACTTAATTTAATAAAAATTTACCTAATTCACGTCTATATAAAGATATTATTTTATTTTAAATGTGAAAAAAGTAACACATCATGAGGAAGTCGAAGGTACTATGTATTCCTTTCAACATAGAAGTGAGCAAATAAAAGACATATGGGGATTTGTATATTACAAGATTTAGCATAAAATTGAGCTGGCTTTGCTCTTTCTTCATGCAATATTAATTGCAGACATTGATGGCTGCTAATATTTGTTTTAATCTATTCCACAATACTGGCCGGGCTGTATGTGTTGGGATTTGGTAAAGCAAAGCAATGGATTAATACATAACATCTTTTGAAAATAAGTCAAATAACCATTATAGGGAGTTATGTGTAATCTCCTTTTGAATGTCTACCGAGGAGTGTAAATAACACCGCGGTTGTTATCTACACTCCTTTATAATAGTGCACGAATACAAGTGAAGAGCCAAAATAACATTTCATGTAATTTAAATGACAATGTTATATATGTTCTTTCATAAGAGCATCCACAGTAGATGGTGTATTTTTGTGGGTGTGAAGCCACTTCTCCTTACGAGAAATTATAGAATTGTACGATATCATCACGTCAGTTTGTGATACTTCCATTCAAAATTCGCCACATGTATTATTTTTTGACAACTGGATTCAACACTCATATTTACTTTTAAAATAAAATTAAAATGATTTTTAAAAACCTTTAGAAATAAAAAAAACCACCCCCTTCATCCACAGTGATCCCCCACCACTATCTTCCATGACTACTGCCTCATTCTCTGTGTGAATTTGAGGACACCCCAACACATGGATAATTCCACTTTCACAATCATTAGAAAAAAAATAATTGATTCGGCTATTCATACATAGAAAGGTATGCAACCAAGATTGGATTCCTATTCACCTACTATAAAATTTGCTTTTCTTGTTGATAATCTCAATGGCCATATACCTTGTAGGTCTTTGAAGCTAATCAAATTCCTCAAAAACTTTTAAACTTTTTGACCTTCGCATATGAAATCAAATAATTTCTCAAAGACTATAAACCCACCCTAAACAAATCTTCAATCTAAATTTTTTGAACCCTAAAGCCATCATAGAGAGAATTCCATGAACCCTAAATCCATAATAGAGAGGAGGGATGGAGAGGGAGAAAGAGAGAAAGATTGGAAAAATGAAAGAAAGACAGGAGCCATGGCAGAAAGTGGGCAGGCAGAGGCTTGGTCGGCGAGCTCAGGGAAGTGGTTGTTGGGAATTTTTATTATTAATGAGTTTTTTCATTTTAGTTTTATTTTTATGGTTTTAAATTATAAAATTAGATTTTTAAATCCAGCTGTATAAATAATTAATTTTTCTTTAAAAAATAATACACATATAGCATTTTGAATGGAAGTATCACCAGATGACGTGGTGATACCGTATCATTTTATAATTTCTCCACTTTTACATTCCCTTTACACCTCCAGGGGTTATAAATGTGGTTTTTGTTATAATGGGGAATATGTAAATCTAAATATGTATAGGGAATAAAAAAAGAAAAGAGAGGGAAAAATAATAACAAAATAAGTAAATAAAAATGAAGTAGAAGAGCCCAAATTCCAAATGAATGAAAACGTGACTGATTTTGCTCACTTTTGTCCACCTTTTCTCACTTTTTCTTATGTATGTCTCACCTGCAAGAGATGTAAAAAAGGATGCAAATGTGCATCTAAATTTGCATCTCACGGTTGTAATGCAAATTTACAATAATTTACATATCCCGAGTACATGTGATTCCAATTATAAATGATATATATTTAATATACACCTCATTATATAACCCACCATTGGAGATGCTCTAAGATTGTACGAATACAAGTGAATAGCGCAAATGAAGCTTCCTCCTATAACTCAAAGGCGATAGTACTGTATTGAAAAATAGGGATGCAACAGGTAATCCAATACTATCGCCTTTGTCTCAAAACTTACCCCATATCACTAAAAACAAAAAAGAGAGAGAAAAAAAGGGAAAGAATCATTTCACACACCCACTGTTTCTGTACATGCACAGAAGCATCAAACAAGCTTAAAAACCCTCAAACGGAACTCCAAACTTCACCAACTCATATACACACCTACCGAGTAGTGAGAATTGTCTCAAAAATTCAATGTCTCCCCTCTTTTCACTCTTCCTCCTCCACATAATAGTCAGCGCTGCCGGTGCACAACTCCGGCCTCATTACTACTCAGAATCTTGCCCGGAAGCCGAAGCTGAGGTTCGACATGTCATGAAGAAGGCTCTGATCCGAGAGCCCCGGAGCCTTGCTTCTGTCATGCGCTTCCAATTCCATGATTGCTTTGTTAATGTAAGTGAACTATATATAAAAATTACAATCCTGCGTTTCCTTATAAGCTGTTCTTCAACAACTAATTAATTGGTTCCCTCTTTGGTAAAAAAATCATAGGGTTGTGATGCTTCATTGTTGCTTGATGACACACCAACAATGCTTGGGGAAAAACTCGCCCTTGCAAACATAAATTCACTGAGATCTTATGAGGTTGTTGATGAAGTCAAGGAAGCCTTGGAGAAGGTCTGCCCTGGGATTGTCTCTTGTGCAGATATCATCATCATGGCCTCTAAAGATGCTGTTGCATTGGTATGAAACTCTCTTCTCTATACTTCCATCTTCTTTTAGTGGAATTTCTCTTCCTAATATTCGAAGAGATCCGAATTCGAAACCCCCCTCTGTTGATATAAAATGAAAAAAAAAAGTGATGAATAATCAACATGGGCTTGGTTTGAGTGCAAAGCGTATAATTCTTTTCTGTTTATGGTTTCCATAATTAAAAAAA